TGAGAACATCCTGAATTGTTTATTAGTTTCTGAAAAACCAAAGAGTCTTCTCATTCTGTTTCAGCCAGCTTATCACTATTTTGGAGTCACCTTCAACTACTTTCTTTCTCATCCCCATCTCCATAGCTTTCTGCATCCCATAGAGCACTGCATTCAGTTCTGCTGTTACAGAATCACACAATTCCAGATGGACCCACAATCACTCCACTTTCACTTCTTAAAACCCCTCCAATTCCAGACGGACCCTGATTCCCAAAGCTGCTTCCATCAAGGTTTAATTTCAGGAAGCCTAACTCCAGGGGGTCCCAAAACTTTAGTACCTTCTTCTTGGCTGAAGTTAAGGCTGCAATTGTTCTCCAGTTCCTTATTATGTCATCAAAGGAGAAGGCTGAAAATAACTCCAATGTCTTAACCCAGAAAGCCACTTTTGCCATAATCCCTTCAATTAAGGCTTCCTTGCTCCTTTTCTATTCCTCAAAGATATGCTTATTTATTTCCTCCCATAAAGTCCAGATCACTGCTGCCCTTGTACACCTCCACATCAGTCTTCCCCTTCTTTTTGGCCAGATGAAGGTAGAGACATCAAACAACCTGTCCAATCTGTCCTAGGTGTTTCACCTGCACCAAAAGAGAGAGAAAAAACAATCCCATATACCACAAGCAAACGAGCAGGAAATGAAAATGTGATGAACAGATTCACCATTAGATTCACAGAAACAGCACCAATTTGGGGAAAGGCACCACCCAGGTCTCTTTCTCTGTAGTATGTCGCAAGTGTTAATTGCACCATGGAAGACCTCCCAACAAAAAGCACTCACTTTGGGGGGAATCGGGTGAAACCAAATCTCTTTATGGAAAGGGAACAACTGGTTGAGGAGGCAAGGACAACGACTTGAAGAAAGAAACACAGTTGAAAACCCCAGAAGGATGTAGAGTCCAACTTCTAGCATTCTGTTTGTTAAGGTCAAGGAAAACCCCTTCAAGAATGTGTAGTAGGTTTGAAACAAGGCCCAGTTGYGAGTCCCTCACATTTCTGTGAAAGCCTAGGTTCCACCCAAACCCATTAACTGAAGGAGAAGGGAGCAAAAACTAAGAAATCGGTTTTCCCTTGAATGAAGATAGGGCAAACAAAGAAGGAAAGGAATCCTTAAAAGGGACTTCACCCACCCAAAGGTCTTCCCAGAATTTGATTTTGTTACCTAAATTAATATCAAGTCTGGTATGATTGAGGAAAATTCAGAAACACTTCTGAATCGCTTTCCAAGGTGAAGAGCAAGAGGCCCTACTAGAGGTTCCAGCATCCCATCCATTCTCTAAGAGCCCATGAATACTAGCAACCACTTTATGCCATAACCTGTCTGTTGGGAATCTCCACAACCACTTCCTAAAATAACCTTTTCTTTCTTTCAGCTTCCCTAAGCCCAATCCTCCACATTCCTTCCTTTGGCAAACTACTTCCCACCTGATTAAATGATCCTTCTTTGCCTCACCAGGTTCCCACAAGAAATCATGCATAATTTTCTCTAACTTCTTAACGATCGCTTGAGGCATACTAAACACTGATAGGTAGTATCAGGGTTTACAAGAATTGTCTCGTTTTCTCCTGCTTATCATTCTTAGCAATCTCTTGCATGAACACATGAACATCATAAGTTTCTTCCCCCTATCTTCAGATTTCTTCTCATTAGTCGTCTTTCCTACATCATCAACCTTCTTCGAGGAACCCTGACCTTTCTCTTTGTTTTTCCTAAACTCTGTCGCAACATGGCCGATTTTGTAGCAGACTTCATAATAAGGCAGCAGGTTTTCATAGACAACCTGTTGCCAAAACACATCTCTTCAACAAACCCTGTGGGGGCGCAGTTTCAAAAAATCCAATTCAACACACTCCTGCGCCTCCATAGTTCTTGATAGGGTTATAGAGGCTTGGTCAAACTTCAAAACTGGTCTGACTACTTGAGCAATCAATCTAAGCAGACCTTCCGCATAAAAATTAATGGGTAGATATGGAAAACTAATCCAAACTGGAACAATGGAAAGTTCCCAGCCTGGTTCAAAATCGGGGATCCATTTAAATAATTGAACAATAAAAGATTTTACCTCGAAAGCTTTCCACAGCCATAGTTTCAAATAGTCATCCCCCTCCGCAAAATGGATCAAAATATGCTTGAATCCAATGTTGTAAACCAGATTTCATTCTTCAGAGAAAATGATTTACAAATAAACTCCTTCAACTCCAGTGAAGGTTGGCCATACATACATTTGCCAATCAAAGCCCACTTAAAAAGAACATAAGATTGGAGTCCTCTAGGAAACAACTACAGGCTTGCCCTACTTTAGGGTTGCAGTGATCACAAGAACCTGCAACAAGGGCTTTGCAAGAGGCAAGAGTTTCGAGAGAATAGAGGCAAACAAAGGCTTCTGCATGGAGGAATCCACATTGTGATTCGTCATGAGAGAGGAAGAGGGTGGAGGAGGCGGTGGCTACAGTTTTTCATCCAACTACAGGAACCTCAAATCAACAGAAGATATATCTATCTTTCTTCTGTTGTCATTATCTTTGTATTAAAAATATAAAAGGTGGAGACTAATAAAAAAAAAATTAAAAGATGGAGAGAAACATACAAACAAAAAGAAAAATGGGTATACAAAAGCTCCATTTCTGATAGAGGTGGCCTGAGGAACTTTCCCAACTTCTATTCAAGTTTCCATTAAGTCCAATCTTCATGTACCTTCCCCTATTTCCACCATATTTCTACTTACCAAAGCTTCTCAGCTTCTAGTTGTTTTTAGGTAAAGGCACTCTTTCTACCAAAAAAAAGGTATTTCCAAAGAAACCAAGGATATGTTTGATAAGAGTGCAAATGCAAATATGTTCAGTTCATGAAAATGCAAACTTGTTTTGGTTTTGTATTGTGGTTGGTTGTGATGGGTACAAACGCAAATTTCAAGGCTAGAATCTACCCTTTTTACACTGACCAACTTTGAGTGCAAAGTTTGCTTCCACTTTTTGGAAGCAATTTGCTCCCACTTCGAATGCAAAAACAAAAGATAAAAACAAACTTGCTTGTATTTTCAGTATAAAAGCATATTCTTACCAAATGCCTACAAAACTGAACCAGATTACAAATTTGCTTTGATTCAGCATTTATACTTTTACCAAACACAAGCCTAAAAAGATAGAATAGAATTATAAGAAACCAAATTTCCTCCAATAATTTTAAATGGAAGAGCCTTCATTGTTAAATGATCACCATACATAATTTCTTAAAAAATATAAAACTCAACCTTGGTGATCAGTTGAAGGTCCACTTGTTTGTGTTAAACATGTTTCTAATACTTTTTGTTAGCCTACTAAGCATGTGAGGCATAGAGTGATTAAGAATAACAATGGCAAACAGCCTGCTTATCAACTCTTCATTAACAAATAGCCTACTCATTGATAAAATCAGATAACCAAAACAAGAGCAGTAAATCAATTATGAACAGTATCAGCATGTATCAGAACAAGGATGAGATCAAGGATAAGCAGCATTAGCCTTGTATTACAACAGATAAAATCAAAAGCACTGGAAAAGTTATCAATTAGAAATTAAAATCAGTTAAGAACACTAAAAAGATACTAGAATAAAAGGAGAAACGTAAATGAGTGGAACTAAAATCACTTAAAAAAAACATTAGTTCATGCCAAAACATTCAAACATTAAGGTCAAGATGGGAAGTGAACTTCCATAACAAACAAAGTAATTGAATGGCAAAGAAATGAACTCCATGTGTTATCCATGTTTCCTCACACAAAGGAAGCCAAGTGGTATTTATCATCACAAAATGATAAATTCTTCAAGACGCACTCTAGAACCATCATAATGTAGCTTCTACATCCACATTTTATTGTGTAAGAGGGTAGAGGCGTGAATCATGGATTGGAATAGAGAAAAAACACAATGTAGAAATTAGAGCATGGGCTTGAATAGTAAATTGGAGAGAATATGTGAATTACGAATTGTGATGGGTGCATAGGTAGCAAAAGAGTTTAGAACTGCAAGTTGTGAAATGAGGGGATTAGGTTCAAATTATGAAATGACAACATTGGCAATGAGTGTGAATTAGAAATAATGCGAAAATAGGTCAAGAGAAATAACTAAGGAGCACACACATAAACAAAAATAAATAATAAATCATCAACATCATGTATAACCATTTAACAAGTGAACTAACAACTTGTGCTGGGTTGATATGATCATCCAACAACTTGCCTCAAGAAAACTCTTCTATATCAAAAAATTGTCCGAAGAAGGAAAGCTCGTTTTCTAACAAAATGGAAAATCAATTATATAAAAGAAAACTTTGTTTTATTCAAGATATTCTATCCAACCCGAACCCGCCATTCTTGCACTCAGAACTTCAGAACTTCCTCTACTCTCAACTTGCTCAAGCTCTCTAGACTTTCAAAGTCTCACAGACCAATTTCTAGTTAATACTTCGATTTCTAGTGTGAACTACCGGCTATGGTTTGTGGGACCTTAAAAATCTAGAGACTCTTTAGTAAACTTGAGAGCTAAGAAAGCTCTGCATGCAAGAATGACGGGATGGATAAAAAGTTTGAAATAAAACAATATTGCCCTTTATAAATTTTATCTTCCTTCTTGTAAAATAAAAAATTAAATTTACTATTTGTCATTTTATTGATACGAAAGATTTTTCTTTTGGGACAAGCCATTAGATGATTATCCACTTCAGCATAGAAGACATTGTAAAGTGGTTACGCTCGGCATTGACAATTTATTATTTCTTTTTTTATTTATTATTTACATTCATTCCTTTGTGTGATCTCTACTTAATTCTATTCATCTATTGACCTATTTTCGCATTGTTCTTGATTTGCAGAGCCAGTTCTTAGCTTCTCACCATTTTGCAATTCGAACATAATCTCCCCACTTCGCGATTAATGATCGTAAATTCAATTCGTTCTTCACATATTCTCTCCGATTTGCAATTCGTAGCAACGTGCCTGAATTTGCACTTGGTGTTTTTTGACTTTTTCCTTTCAAAGCCACAATTCGTCCCTCTACCTTCTTCCATATTGATTACATCGAAATAAAGCAAAACAGAAAAATAAAATAAAATAAACTGAACTACAAATCTGAAGAGCAAAGAAACGGAACGGAAGGGTAGGAAAATGAGATTCGGCAGAAAAGGTAGAATAAACAGTTTCAACTTTCAACCTCGTCGAGAGCTCTGATCAAAGGTTAGCAGCTTTTGGGGGCGGGAAAACGTAATCAACCACGATCACACTCTCCAATGAATCCTTGACTTTCTCCTTCTGAGCTTTTACAGCCTCCACATTGGAATCCAAAGCGTGCAATTCGGTCAATCCAGGAAAGATGGCAAGAGAAGCTATGGAGAAACCCTTGGCCCTGGCCAGGGAAAAATTCTCCCCAAAACTAATTTGATCAATCGAAGCAAAAGAATTCCTAATACCTCCGAGTACTCTTAAAACCTCTCCTTTCACTCCGTTCCCCAATCCCTCYTTCAGCTTTAGAAACGTCACTCGCATTGCGGCGCCGGAGCGGGGAACAAGGGGGCCATGGAGATCATCGGCCACCCAGTCAATGGCCATGATGTCTTCACATATCGGCAGAACAGAGTCTTCTACGACACTCAAATGGTTTGGATGTGCAGAATAGACGCTCAGATCCTCCTTGGTTCTATACCTACTGTGCAACAAATGCGTGAAGCTAAAAGCTGAAGATCGGTTTCTGTAAATAGGACCGGCGGAGAGATGAAGAACCTGGTCGAGAGAGGTCAGGCCGTTCAACCGAGAGATCATGGCGTTGACCTTCGAAGGCTCTGTGTTGTCTTTGACCTTGAAGAGGACTACATGTTCTACTGTTTGCATTTTGGCGGGAAGAGGAGGAGACGAACAACAGAAACAGGGGGATTTGAAAGGGAAGGAGGGTTTTGGGTGTCGAACAAGGTTAGGTGGGGAGAGAGATGCAGGAGTTGAGACGAATGGACGTGCACTCACGCACAGCATCTCTCCTCCAATCCAATCCAATCCGAGCACGGAGCCGGAATTACATTGTGTCTGAATTGTGTGGCATTTATTTATTGGGTAATCGATTAAGTACCCTTACGACAATTGTCTAAACCTTCCTTCGCCGTTAACGTCCCGTCATAAATCGTTCAAAATAACTTTGAAAAATTCCAAAATTATCTTTTTGTGTTGGAAAATGCCCTTTCAAAAATCCCATCATGTAATCCTTCAAGTCTGCCTCACTGCTATCAGATCGAGAGGAGAAGGGGAGGGAACGGCACCGTGGTCTTCATCGACATATCTGAATCCGTATCTACACGGGGTAAGCATGAGAGATGGTACTCAGGTTTGAAGACTCTCGCATGGCGACTGTGCATATCTGAGTTCGTATTAACACAAACTCAGATATATGTGCCACATGTTCGTAGAAATGCCTAGCTGCACAATCGCACACCTCGTCCGGCCCCGCGCACGCCCACCCTGCCCGCAAAAGAAAATAACCCCTACAGTGATCAAAATTTGTACATGAATCAGTAGTATACAAAACCCTCGCCATTTTGATTAGGGTTTATTAACGCTAAAAAAAATAAAAAAAAAAACAAACGAGTGATCAATATACAAAACTCTCACCGTTTTGATTAAGGTTTATCACCAGACCTCCGTCATTCGGTAGTTGCAGCGACCATCGTTGCCAATGGATGGCGCTCCATCCCCTTTCAAGTGTCCTGTTCAGCAAATGAATCGAGTGTCTGAATTACCTTAGAATTAAGTTAAAACGAGGGATACAAATGTAACTTCGTAGATTGGTAAGAGTGTTTGAGTTAAAAGGTAAAACGGATATTTGACTTTTTTCATCCATGTTTAATGAACCTTGAAAGATTTAGACAATCGTCAGAAACAATAAAAGTAGTGCTAGTCAATTTTTAGAATTAATAAGACACCCTATAGTTTTCAATATTTATTAAGACACCTATGTTAGCTCTAAAATTAGATATGTGAAAAGCCTTGAGCCTTTGACAGACAGCATGGGAAGGAAATTCATTATTAGTGTGCTCAATCAAAAACATGAATTTTTCCACAAAATGGTGTAAATTTCAATGCATCTCCACTGCATCATTCTCTATCAAGATGAATGGAGAAACCCATGGCCTTTTTCATCTTAACTGCAGTTTTAGACAGGGGACCCTCTGTCCCCCTACCTCTTTATAATGGGTATGGAGGTGTTTTTACAGCTACTCTCAAAAGCCATGAACAGCCAGCACATCCAAAGTTTTCAGCTCACAAGAAACAGCCCTCCAATCACACACCTCTTATTCCCTCCCCGATGACTGCATCCTCTTCTACAAGGTCGTACCCAGACAAATAAAAGAACTCAATAAGGTCCTACAACAATCTGAATCCCTTTCAGGATAAAGGATAAACACCAGCAAATCTACAATAGCTTTCAGTTGCAATATCCCCTAACATCACAGGAAATTCATTTGCCACCTCCAAAAAGTAAAATAACCACTAAGGGGCTCCAAATACCTGGGTGTCAAAATTGGGCTACAAGAGAAAATTCTGGGTAGTGGGTATATTCAATGAGTTGAAAGACAAAATCATCTCAAAGTTCCAATCTTGGAGGGCAAGGCTACTTTCAGAAGCAGGCCGCACCATCATTAAATCAGTAGCACAATCTATTCCCATTTATCAAATGGAAGATCTACCATCCTAGCAGAGAAATTACACACATCTCTGGACAAAGCAGTAAGGGATTTCTGGTGGAACCTAAGCCAGACAGAGAGACACTCTAAGTACACCATCTCTTGGCATAAATTATGTCTCCCCAAGTCTTTCGAGGAGGTTTAGGCTTCAGAGTTCAGAGACAGCAGCCGTATGAACAAGTCGCTCTTCTCCAAACAAATCTGGAAATTGCTTAACTTAATTTCCCAACAGCTAGCCTGTCTGTAGAGCAGCCAAATGAAATGCAAATACTATCCCAAACATGGCCTCTTTACATCACAGAAAAGAAACAACACCTCTCCATGCTCATAAACTTCTAAACCAACTAAAACCTAACATTTCCTATATGGCTGATTATTAAGGATGGATCGAACATCTCAGTTTTCGGTGATCCTTGTCTCCCCACCTTAAGCGGAGGCATTCCACTTCCTGTTCTCAACCATGCATCCATTACGAGTTTACAACCTTAAAAGGAGGCATCCCACCTTATTATTTGCATTTTTCTGAGACAGCCCTCTACTTTGCAACTGTTTTTTGGCTTTTTAAGTAAAATGACAATTTTGACACTAACGGCCGTTTGATCAAAATTAATCTAAAGAAAAGAAAGAACATTGTGATCCTCTAAGCTGAAAACCTTGCGCTTTATAACATTGAGGTATGGTTTGGACTTCGGAGCTGGAAAACAACGTATCATCTCCGTCAAAAATCAAAATCGTCACGACTCTAGTTACTGTAGACCCCAACATCTTCGATTTGGAAAGAACAGGGATACGGATTGCAGTGGGGCAGGTTTGGGAAGGGTTTTATAAATTTTAGATCATTTTCACTTTCCTAAATTTCTCAACCCATATGGGTTGGATTTTGAGAATCCAAACCCTCTTCACACATAAAAGTGAAAAACCCTCCCCATATTAAAAGGTAGGGGTGGATTGGGTTTAAAACTCGCATCTATTTTTTTATTATTTCTTGTCATATATAATCAATAAATAAGTAAAATAACATAAATAAACATCAAAATTTCTAATTATTTAATTAAGAAAAGTAAAAATATATAAATTATTAATTATCATTCACATAAAATTTAAAATATTATTAAATTCAACATCTAATATATAAAATTTAAATGTTTTCAAACAATATAAGGTCAAGAAAGGTCGGGTTTAAGATAACACCCTACCTTATCTATAAATGTGGGTTGTAGAATCCTAAAAAGCATATCCACCCTAAAACCCATCATTTAAAAAAAAAAAATCACCCGATGGAGAGGGCGTAGAAATTGCCATCCCTAATCATAAACATAGAAGCCATTGAATTTCAAAATTCGAGGCAAAGAGCTGAGAAACGCTGACCAAGTTGATTAGGGGCATTTTAGTAAATATACAAAACTACCATAGTAAAATGACCAAAAAATAGAGATATTGTACATGAATACATCAGCAATGCCAACACTGACCAAAACTCTGGTCTATTGAGATAGCATGTATCAAACCGCTATCCGATAGGCGGGCCAAAAATGGTTGGACGGAAGGCAATAAACAAAGGGCCAGACTCCAAACATCGAGATTCAATGGCGCCTTCTTTCTCCTCAACTGTTCCCATTTATTCTTCGACTCTTTCTCCTCATCACACCCCATGGAAGACTGCAAATTCCTCTATCCTAGTCAAGCTCGACAGTAAACCATCTCTCCTTTGCTGTTCCTCTAAGAAGAAAACCAGCTTCATAGATCAAATTCTAGATTACATCGAAGGTACTCTCTCTCTCTCTCTCTCTCTCTCTTTCAGCAGTGCTGCCAAAAATGGAACCTAACTCGAGTTATGCCCGTTTTGTTTTCCATGACCCTTCTCGATTTCTCCCAAGTTCATCATTCCTAATTACAAGAATTTCTTTGTTTTTAATTCTTTCGTTGTATTTATTTGTTTCTTTGTTTGATTGATGTTGTACTACCATGTTAATAGGACTCTTTATATACTGAGCTGTGAGCACCTTGCTTATTGCTCGAATTCATTATTTACACGTCTTAAATGTCAGTCCAAAATGCTTCAAATTGAAATTGGTTCATGCCGCACTTTTGCAGGTTTCTTTTGCAATCCACACAAAATTCAGTAAGAAGTAAACAAAAAAAGAAAATCTGAACAAGCATCTTTTTAGGCTCACACCTTTTCCAATTAAAACGTTTACTTAAATATGAATTACTCCCAAAGAGCCAAAGAGGACCTAGCAATTAAACTATTTAAGTTTCTTAACATGAGGGGTTCAATTATAGGAGGACCCAAGTTAAGGAAGTGGTATGGAGCACCTGATCTACTCCCCAAAGATGGGGTCCTTGCGGATGAGGAGGATGAATATGCAGGTAGTCATACCTATGCAGTTCAAGATTTTTTTTTTTCATTTGAAATTTCTCTGTAGAATTAGATTTCTTTCTCTCCTTTTGAAGCACAGGAGTAGAAGAAACTAGAGATGCAGTCTTGGTGACAGATGGAGATAGCGAAATTGGCCAAGTATGTTCTAACCTTTTTTTTTACCACTGCTATTGTTTTTTGCTACATCTTTTTTGCAATATGCCATTAAAAGAGACCGACTGGCAACTAAATAAAGAAAGAAAAAAATTCTCTCCTATCATCATCTTATAAAGGGGTCAATGACCCTTATTCGTTACAGGAATATCATGGCTTCAGAAACTCAGTATGCCAACTTGTATTCTATATGATTCAGTTCAATCCAATGTATATGTAGTCATGAAGTATGATGATTTAATGTTGGTTAAAATACTATATGACTTGCATGTTATATCTAGTGCTTGGGGTATGGAATCTGGTGGATAAGCTATTTTAACTTCTAACTTTTGCCTGTATAGATGGTAATACTGTCATTAATTGTCAAAAGGGTTCGAGTCAAGGCCCTTGTGAAGGATAAGCGGGCAGCTATTGAAGCTTTTGGAACATATGTTGAGGTGAAAATTATCTGGATCATTGCTATGTGGGCATTTATCTTTAAACCAGCAACCACTCTCTACCCTAGAATTGATGATAAATACTAACTTGATCGTGCTGTTCTATGCAAAGTCAATATCCGGAGATGCAAGTAACAAGGCAGTCTTCAAGAAGGCTTTGAGAGGTGTTCGTGCAATAATATGCCCAAATGTATGGACAAAAGGATCCATTCACTTACTGGTTTTTTATGTTTCCCTTTCATACTATAATTTAAATAGTTTAATAGTTTAAATACTGGTTTTAGTCTCATATACTTCTGATTTTTCTCCCCTTAGAGATAAATATATTATTTTTTTACTTGTTTTCAGATTTTGCTCCTGGCTATTGCTCTGGATTATCATTGAATGAAGTTTGGAATACCAATTTTGCATCTCTGCACTAAATTGTTTAAATTTGAATGGGACTTTGAGATTTTATCCATGCAACATCTGAAATTCACATAGATGAAATTGTAACTCTTCAGAGTAAACTTGATTTAGATTGTTGCAGCAATTCTTTTAAATCTGAACTATTTTGATTCTGTGAAAATGAACACAATTTCTGTCTTGGTTGGTTGCTAACTTTCTACTACCTTTTTATGACTGTTAATCTCACCCTACATTGAATTCCATCAAATGGGAAACATATTGGAATCAACTTTTCTTGAAAATCAATGATCTTTTTTTTTTCTGCAGGATGGTTTCTTATCTAATGTTGGGAGCGTGAAAGGGGTAGAACATATAGTTCTATTATCTCAGGTTTTTCAGTCTCTATCTTCACTGATAACCTAGAAAACAGCCTTATATATTGAGGTTTTAATAAGAGTTGCAGTTGGCTGCTTATAGGAGTAGCAGTGGTATCCAAGCTCTCATGACTGGTAACATGAGAAAATTGGCTGAGCAAGATGAATCAGTGGTTGTTGCTTCAGGCATCCCGTACACCATCATCAGAGCAGGCTTGTTGCAAAATTCTCCTGGTGGTGTACAAGGTTTTAGTTTTAAAGAGGTATCCTCATAACAGTTCTTTCTTTTATCGTTTGATGGTGGATGTGGAAAGCGAGACAAGATATCCTGAAAGCACAAAACTCTGCAAACACTCTGAAAGCACGGGCATCCATCCCCACATTGGGAACATCTCCTTATGAATTTAACATACATGTGCAAGAGATATTCCCGATGTGTGGCTGGATGCTGTGTGCACAGAGCCTATGCTTTCAGGAGATTCAGTCTCGTGGAAGGCTAAAGGCTATGATGCTTAATCAAGAGGAGTTAAAAATCTCCTTCTTCAACTTTACATTTTCTTATTTTGTTTTTCTGATGCATATGATTAAATAGATTTTTATGTGCTTTATGGGTTCAATCATTTTTTATGCTATATGTTTTTTTATGATTTACTGTGTAATAAAATAAGCTTAATGGAATCTGAAGGCTGCTTTTTAATGGATAACAAGCCCAAAGTTTTCACTGATTGAATGAACCCACTAGACATTAGTGAGATTTTTCTTCATGGATATTGCACATACTTCGACCAACCTTCCAAAGGAAAGTGAACAATAATCATGGTTGAGGATCATTTGTTATGTGTGTCATTGCCGACAGCCCACACTGGGGTTGCTTTCTTCAACTTGTTGGGGTAAATCCACGAGGGCATTAGTCTTTGGCTGGATGTTTGTTACTTCTTTGTGCTCTTTTTTCAATCAGCTAGAAGCCTAGGACTGACTTAAATTTGCTTATGTTGTTCTATGTTAGGGTAGTGCAGCACAAGGAAGATTAAGTAAAGAAGATGCTGCCTTTATTTGTGTGGAGGCTCTTGATGCAGTCCCACAGAGAGGACTCATCTTTGAGGTTGGTCAAACAGATTGTTTCCTTAATTAATTATCATTACCTGATTATAAAGTAGTATACTTCTATAGAAAATCTAAAGCCATTGGATAGCTTAATTGCATTACAGTATGTCAAATGGCATACACATTCATGGTGCACTTTCATGAAGCTTAGACACCATTCAACAGGGGAAGGTCATTAAAGAGAGACGTGACCAATATGACTCTGACCCACCTAATCATAAAGTCAACTGATTTTTGTGTTTCTGGTGTTTGGCCTGTTCTTGGGGTATTAGAGCACCATGGAGAATTCTAGTATTTATTCTTTGTAACTTGTTTTTTATATAATCTTCGTTTTACAATCACTCTAATGTAAAAGTTTTCACCAAAGGATTTATCAGCATGTGCTGTGCGTGAATTGTGACAATAGGTGGCAAATGGAGAAGAAAAGGTTTCAGACTGGAAACAGTGCTTTGCCACTCTGATCGAAAAAGCTGAGCAGCAACCACTTCAGTGACCACACACAAACAAATCCCTGAATATGAGTTGCTCATCTAAGCCTTGGCACCGCTAGTCTCCAATTGATATCGTCTGTGAGAAAGTCCATTCCACATGTTAAACATTTTTCTTTTGATGAAGATTTCATTGTAAACTTCTATTTAAGCATTTTTCTTTTGATCAACAACAGTGAAAAATGATTTTATCATTTTATTGATGAAATGTGAAAAGATATGTGAAAAAACAAATTCCCCGCCCTGCAAAGAGATGGGGAAGAAGGGGCGTGCAAAGGTTTTTACTAATACATTACAACTGCATTCTGATTCTTGGGCCTAGTTCCCTGCCTATGCAAGTTCCCTGGTTGATAATTGTAATTTCATCTCTTAAAGAACAGCTTTTGATGAAATTTTCATTCTAGACTKTTGTTCGATCAGATCTTTGAGGCTGCTTCGCCCTCCTATAATTGAGATGAGGCCTAATTGAGTCGAGTTGAGAATCTTCGAGGCTGCTTCAAGAATCAAGATTATTTCTTTACGATCTTCTCTGATATATTTTTACATTAACTTGAGATTGGGGAAGAGAGAGAGAGAGAGAGAGAGAGAGAGAGAGAGAGAGAGAGGACAGTGTTCTTAAAACTTAGAAGTTGAAACTATAATTGTATTGTAAATTATAGAGAATGTTTAAACAAAAAAGCGAGGATTTCAACTCAAACAAACATGACCACAAGGAATTAGCTATAATTCCAAAGGATGGTAAAAGACGATTACACCCCATTCCTCTCCTTTTGCTTAGTCAACAATAGAGGACAGGGCAAAACAGTGTTATAAAAAGAACGGATAAAAAAGTCCAAAACTTGGGTTTTGGAGATGTAATAAAGAAGAGTCTCATAAAAATTCAAAATTTACAGAATGGTAATGGCGAGAGCATGGGATTAACAGAACAAGATATTACTAATTTGATGCTCCATCAACTTATCTGTTGCTGGAAGGATCGCCTAGCAACATCATTGACTCCCATAGAGTTAAGAGGTCAGGTGGAGAAACTAGCAATTACTCTTGGGTTGATTTGGGATGCCAGAAATCTTAAAAGTGCATGAAAATAATGTAATACAAGCGAGAGCCTAATTGCCAAGGTCTATACTTACACTTCTACTTCAGTTTATACTCAAGCGTCCACAATTGACGGTCCAATGGCAATTCAGCTGAAGGAAAATGCAACTAAATAACTAATATATTTGTTGATGGTCTATGCATTGTTCAACCGTAGGGATGAACACGAATCTAGTTTTTCACAAGCTATTTGAGTTAAGCTCATGAAAAACTTGATTTGGCTCAGTCTAAATTGAGACTCAAACTCAAGCTTGTGAGTCTTACGAGCGTAATCAAGTTTATTTACAACACAATTAAATTCAAATATCTAAGCATCGATTCAGCTTCTGAGTTCAACCTAATTTGAGTTCAAGTTTTTAGCTCAAACCGAACTTAAGATCAAGCCTCATGTTCTTTTGACGAACCAAGCTCAAATAGCTAGATGTTTCATTCAATTCAGCTCAAATCCACCCCTATTCAACTGAATAGAGCAGTTTTATGAAATAATCATAACATCTCACAATGGCAAAATACTAGTAGTTCAAGGCAAGGTTTAAAATATCGACACTGGCTGATACGCCGGCTGTGTTGGTGCTTTTTTTTAGTTTTACTTTTTTTCTGAAATCGATTCAGAGGGCCCAATTTAAAGCCCGGCTACCCTCTGAACCAGTGACTGACCCAATACAACCCCTATAGAAGTGTATTGACCTATTGGGAAGCCATCGGCACGATACGTATCAACCGATACTTTGAACCTTGGTTCAAGGCCAAAGGGGCAATTAATGCAAATGAATAGTCGAAAGATCATCCAACCAGGATTAATTATGGCACAAGACCGAGGCATGAAAAATGTTATTCTCTTTTCTAGTGCTAAATTACTAATAAATATACTTAATATCAAGGTTCAAAGTATCAACATGTATCGGCCGATACATATCATTCCGGGACCCCTCCGATACGCCCCTATAGTGGGTGTGCCAGAGGTCTAACCAATTCAGAGGGTAGAAGAGACCTAAACCGGCCCCCTGAACCGGTTGCGAAAAAAAAAAACTTGGGGTTAGATACCAGTCTTGGCATGGATGTATCSATCTTTACTACTACTTTATATTAATGATCTATGTTTTGATTAAAAACTCTCAAAGTGTCATTATTCCTAAGGTAGTATGAATTTCATATGGTTTAACTAATTGATTAAGTATATTATTACTGTTTAAAAAATGACTAACAAGACAATTTTTACCCTTTATTCTTCTTCAAAATTTTAAAATATATATGAGTCTGATTTCTTACGCTGGTGGATCAACTTCCAGCTACCATTAGTTCTGGAAAAAACTGGCATTGGCATGGAGTGTTGAAAGCAAAGGGCGGAAACTAATAAAAATAAGAAAATGGTGGTGATTCTCTCAAATCCATCTTTCATTTTCCCGCAATCTCTTTAACATCTTCAAGTATAAGAAACGTAGGAAAAAAAAATCTGTCAGGGGCAGAGACAGAGGATAGAGGGTTTTGGCATGTCGGTGGTTAACCGTAGATGCACCCCACAAGCAGATGCATGCTAGCGTTTGTGGTTATGCTTTAGCTCGACCCAAATTTTTGAAACACTAGGTGTTCTGAGTCAGTGATATGGGAAACTGCTGTTTTATTTTGAAAAATAGTCTTTTTATCCTTTTATTAAAAGAATATTAAGAAGGGCTAACGGTAAGAAATTTATCAATAAAGGTACGCTAAAAGTAGTTTAAGAAATTTATCATAATTATGATATTATATTATATCTTTTATTAAAATATAATATCATCGGGATCGGGCAAGAAAAATGCTCAGTCACAGATACGAGTGAAGAGCTTCGACTAGAAAAGTAGGCACAATTGACTAAGTGTGAGCACGATTCACTGACACAGCTTTCTGAGCAGTCAAATGGGCAGCCTTGGTTGCAGCACTGAGGAGAAAAATTAACTGAGCAGTGAGGGAGAAGATGAAAAATAGCTCTGCAAGTTGCAATAATATTAGAGATTCGCCAAAGAGGATTCGAGGATTCCTCTAACAGAGCGTCTCCCTCAACCTGGACATGCTGGAGCTGAAGAGATTAAATGAATCTAAGTGCTTCTAAAAAGAGTGAGGACTTCACTTTCAATAGCTGAGCACAGTTTGAGCTTTATAGCACGAACAATTACAAAAAATCCATGGTGATCCCTAATAACCAATCCTGCATCCGCCCTTGATCTGGAAAAGGATCCATGAAAGTTGAGTTTCAAACATAGGAGGCTTCATCCACTTATCATTAACAGATTCAAAAGGATGAGTGATGGGTCGTGTCGAATCTTGGTTTAGAGCATCAACCATCACATCTACACCTCCCAACTGAACATAAATTTCATTAATGATCATTTGCTTAATATCCATAACAAGACGACAACGAGCTTTCCAAAGCATCTACATATTAATGGCACATCGAGCAAAAATAGGAACATGACCTTTGGAACAGGGGTCATCTAATGTAGCCCCATAATAAAGCCAATCAGTAATCAACCAATCTGGGTGAGAACCCACATGTAAACCCAAAGGTGAAGCTGCCCAAACATCTCAAAATAGAATAGTAAATGTTTAGGGTCTCAACACCTTTTCCAAGTTCCAACACATACTAAGGAAGTGCCTATGTTTTATATGTCTTCGAACCAGAGCTTCTTTTGACTGGTAAACTACGATGAATGCAACGCCAAACAAAGAGGTGTACCCGAGGAGGCATATATATATATAAATCTCCAAAAAGAGTTCCAGGTGAGGTGAAGTTACCAAAAGCCATCTAAGCTGTTGACGACTGTGGGGTGCTCTGAGACAGGGTTCTACTAGCTGTCTAGCTGAAGCAGAAAGATAACGTATTACGGGGTGAATGGGAATGATGCTTAACGCATCACGCATGGCATGAGCCCGAGCTCGCGGGTAAAAAACTTTTTCCGAACCCGATAAAGAACAGGCCGGACCGGCCCAACAGGTCTAAATAAAAACGATTACCATCCAAAAATTTTCATCAATTTGTTTCTCTCCTTCTTCGTCCTCTTACACGTATATATACACGTGTCACTCAAATTTATATTGGCCGGTGAATAAGATGTCCTCACATCACTCCACGTATGCTGCAGCTATTAATTAAAAAAAATCATGTGTGGTTGTTCGGCTGAAGCTGATCGAGAAGTATAGAACTGCGACTGCCTGCCGCCACGGCCACTCGGCTACGGCCCTTGGAGTTTTAGGTAATTTTAAAATTACAAAAAGACCAGCGTTGAATAGTATTAACAATTTTGTATAAATGTGTGTACGGCGGTGTTATAGGGTGTAAAATTTTGGCAATATTATTGTGGTGAGTGGTGAAATGGTGTCAGGTGTGGAGCAGTGGAAGGAGGAGACCGAGCTCGGGCGTTACTCGTTAGCAATGCAAAAGGTACGGCGGTGTGCAAATGTACACCGCCTAAGACGCTAGCAACGGTACGTGGCAAAATGTTGTACATCTTTAGCTGCAACACCATCTTATTCCACCTGTCAGACAGATTACTCAGATCGTGGCATCGTGCAAAGGAAACAGGTCAGTCTCCAAAGCTGCTTTAGGCTGTAGCTAAAAGGTAAAATGCCATTGCCAGCYAGGGCACCAGAGCAACCACCCAGGACCAGGGGAGGGGGCGGTAAGAAAAGGATTTTCATTTAATGATCTCTTTTGACGTCACATTGGAATCTCGTCAAGCCCATATTGCCCTTCTGGGACTCATTTTAGATGAGGGCCCTGCTAATATATTATTAACCTAAAAACCCAATTAATTTGAGGTCCTGACCTGAGAGCCTGAGAGTTGAGAGGCGTTACTTGGTTCCTTCGCCCACCTAAGGTCCTAAGCTATAAGAGCCTAAGACCTATCTGCTGGAATACAAGGAGCAAAAAGAAGTGAAGCAAAAGCAGATTCCCCCTTCACATGTTAATAATACTTTATTTATTGTTTTTGTCTTGGTCTAGTTTCAACAGAACTGATTTAATATTCTAATCTTTTGATATCATCTTGATTAAAGCATGTTTAATAAATGACCTCGCTTAAGGCCAGTGTCAATCGCCATCTTCCCCATTGTCAGCAAGGGTCCCACTTGAGGTTCCATCTTCCTTATGTTCATGGTTTGTCATATTAATATCTGGTTGAACACTTGAAGCCTCCTTGTTTGATCCGGTACATTTCACAGTAAATGGCAACTATAAATGTACCACCATTTATAATTTCAAATCCTAAAGCAGGGACCAGGCTATTTTCAGAAACAACCATGTGAATCTTTCTCCTATTTCAGGAGACCAAGCTATGTTCCATTGCACCTTAGTCCTCACTGAGGAGAAAAAGGAAGGAAAAAACCTGGGTCCATCAGCAAATTCACTTGCTCAATCTCAATCAATTTCAGAGAGAGAGATGAATCACCAAACAAGAAGCCAGCTTAAAAAGATAGTGCTAATTATTACAGAAATAGAAGACAATAAACAAGGGGAAGTGGAAGAGAGTAGAGAGAAGAACTTCATTTTAGTGGAAAGGATAAGCATGATTAGTTGCATCTCCAAAAAGAGCCTCTGGGGCCCTTGTCCTGCTGTTGGGGGTCACTGTTTATCAGTATCTGTCCCTCTCTTGGAACTCCAGTGCTTTGTTTTAAACTACCTAAGCTGATTTTCTTCTTTTATTAATTGTCTCAAGTTAAAAGCATTTCTTCATTTGTTTCTACTATCTAAAGCATCCAAGAGAAGAGATGCCATTGGTTAGAACAAAAACAGTGGTCGCTTAACAAAAAGAACAAGACAGTGACCAGAAAGCACATCATCTCTTAAGTCTTATCTGAGATTCCGGTTTTGTGGTGTGTGATTAGGAATCAAAATATTATCCAAACTGCTTTCTTCCAATTGCCCAAAGCATCTTTTCATCCCCCCCCCCCAAAAAAAAAAAAAAAAAAAATTGAAAAGAAAAAAAACAAAAGACTTTGCAAATCTTTACAGAAATGCATTTGTTCTCTCCTACCCACGCAAGTGACAGAATCATGAACAGTGGAATAAGTGACAAGAATAAGATGTATTGATTTTATGGGACGGAACTTAAAACAGTATCTACCCCCTTCCCCACTTCAGCCCTCAACGGGGGTCCAGAGAGGGAATCGAATTTAGACTCAGATGGGAAGTAAAGGGAGATTGTGGAGTTTCTGCCAAAAGTAGAGGATGAAAGAAACAGAACTCCATCAATGAGGAATCATACAGTGCAAAAAAAAAATGATAGAGACTCAGATCGGATAACCTTTTTCACAATCAAAAAGGTCAATACCAGTAAAAGCTGTTAATCAACTTTTAATGAAATCAAAGAATTTAGAAATTTGGTTTCATCAGAACATATATTGATTGCATGAAGTACAGCACATCTATGAGCTACCAATCAGTCAAAAGAAATTACTCATCAACAATGAGAAAGAAATTATTCAACCATTGATCTTCAGCTAGTCTAGAACAGAAGTGGCATCAAAATTGGAGATTTGTTGGAAAGCAGACATACTCAGTATCAATGGGATAAGACAGTTACACAGGATTACAGAAGGCAGAGAGAGAGAAAGAGAGATTAAGTGTTATTTCTAATGAGAACTATGTCAAGTAAATCCCAATACAGATACAGGAGTTACATAACCCGATCTACTTGCGTTGATATTGAAAATTTCTTCATTCCCACGGTGTAAAAGAATTGGTACAGAGAGTTTGCGAAGGGGCATGCGGCGTGCCCAAGATTCCAGCAACTAGCCGGGCCTAATTCTTTTGTGTCCTGGCTTCCCGTCCGATTTCAATGTCCCACCTGAATCCCCATCGGATGAAGCTTCAACTAAGGAGCTCGAAAGATCAGCATAGAGATCAACAACCCTCCTGATGTTGTTGTTAAGCTCCCGGATCAGACCTACATTTCGGCTCAAATTGTCCGGGATCTTCGACTCGTGGTTCTGGTTTATCTCGTTGATGAGCAACCTGTTCTGATCTAGGATGTTCTGGACTTGAACAAAGCTCTTCTGGAACGTCTGCAACACCTTGTTATCTGCTTGCATACCGTTGCCAATGCCTGTAAATGCATCCCCATCCATTTTCGGTCAAAATTCAATCCAATTAAAACCCCTCCTGCATCAAGAAACAGAGGAAAGAATGAAGAAAGAACACAACTAAGAACAAGTTCTACCAAATAGCAAGCTCTACCAAATAGCATTTATTTATTGGATACCCACAACCTTAACTCATCTTACTTGCTAGTGGAAACAGAAAACGAGAAGAAAAAAAGCAGACAAAAGATGAGAAAACATGGATTTATTTAAGGCATTTGTGCATGATGGACAAGGTCTGAAGTAGAAATTATGGCTTCCATTTCTTCTTTCACAAAAGATTTAACAAATAAAACAAGAGGGAACCGGTAATAAACATGGGTTTTGTATGATAAAATGTAAGAGCAGATCCCATTTCTATAAAAGGGAACCTTTTCTTTTCTTGTCTTTTCTTTTCTCTTTGTTCTATCAAAAGAAAAATCTAAACTTCTAAAGCTCTGATTTTCAATGGAAAATCTTCTTCAACACACATGGACTAGGACTCTCCTATAACTAGTCAATGCCACACAACAGAGGAGAAAGGGGTACAACTGCAAAACAGAAGTTCCTCGGAAGAAACCAAACCATATGAACCTAAAAAGAGGACTAAAAAGCTTAAAAGGAAAACAAAACAAGAGTTTAAAAGAAATAGAGAAAAGAGGACATATGAAATGTGCTTTGAATTTGTTGCAGAAAATATGGACTAAAATCGGTAAACCAAACGTTTACACCGTACATAAAAGCTTGTAGTTCAGGAAAAAATACCCGAAACGGGAAAAGCAAACAAATCGATAAAAAGCATACTCAACAGATAGAAAAGAAAAAACAACAAGGAAGAAAAATGAAAATCAGGATCTTGTTTAGTAGAACTATATGAAGATCTCCTCTGAAGAAATAAAGAAATTGCAGATATCGTCGGAATTCGAAAGAAATAAAATAAAAATAAATCAAATCTCCAAGAACTCGATTCAGCTCAAAWTGAAAAGATTAGAAAAATATTCGAACTGCATCTTTCAACATAATATTAAAAAGAAACAATATTAGCTGAAAGAGTGAGAAAAAAGAAACAGGGCCATACTTTATCTTCTCTCTCTACTTATTTTTTTTTCTTTTTTTCTTACCTTGAAAATCTGGAACATTTTCCCGAGTAAAGAAGGCAGCAGAGAGCGACGAGGAATTCCAGATGAGTGGTTAAATCGAATCTCCGGAGATTGTACGCAGAGGCCCTGAAATCAGAAACGACGGAAAGAGAGAGAGAGGGGGAGGGTAGCGACTTAGGAGAGAGGTGGTCAGAAAAAAATACTTAATATATAATAGATTTGACAGTCACGCTCCAACCCCTCCCTCTCTATAATGATTTCTCTCTCCTCCTCTTTTACTCTCTCTCTCCCCCTGTGTATGGATCTTCTTCGTCATATATTCGTCCATTAATTATTATTGACTTTTCAATTTTCCTGTCTGATTTAGTATAAATGTTAATCATCGTCCTCTTAAATCTTATCTTAATTTAAGAAAAATGAATTAGAGATCTTTGAAATGCCCTTGGATTTGTATTAAACAACTTAGAACTGTATAGTCAGGGCATACAAATGGAGCGGGTTAATTCGAATTAAAAGGATTTATGAAAAGACATAACCAGAACCTACCGACCCACGGGATCCAGCTAGATCCTAACCAGCACCCGAATCCGTTTCCTCTAAGGTAATGTAGATATGGATTCAGGTGGATACTGTTCAGATCCGACACATTTTATGCCATGTAGTTCGAATATTATCATCATTCATCAGCGTGACAGCGTCTGCGTCTCTCTTTCGCTCCTATTTAAGGAATGCCAGAAAACAACCAGAGTTCTTGATCGGTATGTGTGTTGTGTTGTGACTTGTGACTTGTGACTTGTGAGATGATTCTGCGTCAAAGGTGGTCCGTGTCAAAATTATAAACAAAATATTATAAAGGTAAATAATTAAAAAATAAATAAAATCTCCATCAAAGTTAGGGTTGAATCCAACCTTCAACACTGACAAGTGACAAGGACTATTTCTGGTTCATGGTTCAAATTTTCCCTTAATCTGACGTGGATGAGGTGGTATTATCTCATTGGTAGGTATGAAGAAATGGGAAAGACAACTCAGAAAACAACCGGTTTGTAGTTTATGCAACTCTTGGATATTTCTCCCACATACCTAATTTTGTTTTATAGTGCATACATAATTTCATTCATGGGCTATGTATGGTGAGGTATCCAAGAGTTGCACTTTTTTTTTTTGGCTGCCAAAGAATTGCACAAATACCTCGTCCTAATGGCATTTTGAGATTTATGAAAAACATACTACAAGACAAAACTAAATATACCTTATCATAGCTAGGTCTTCATTTGTCTCTGGAGCAGAGAAATCTAAGAGTTGCATAAATTCAAGTCTCACAAGTCCTTGATGTACACCATGCACAATTGTCAAATGACTATGATGGCGGTGGGCCTTTCCTTTAAACTAGTGTTCCATCATATATAATCGTCGATCGGTATTACCAGACTTTGACTAGACCCAGATGGTGTTTGGTAATTGGTATTACCAGACTTCTGAAAAAATGAATTTTCAGAAGTAAGATTGGCAACCGGCTTCCAACTCTACTCCTCATCTTGGATATCCCAAAAAAACAGTGGTTCCATGCATATACCTCACGAGTAAGAAATAATTGCTAAATTTAGATTATTTAATTTAGTGAACCAATATTTTTCTCACATAACTCTTGAGATCTCTGTGCTGCTTCAATGTCTTTGGCAGAGTCTGTCATTGGTTCGAGCCGCGCATATATAACATCGAACGTTATCCCCACTGAACGTAACCATGTTGTTTTGGCTCTAAATATATAAGAGACGAAAATAAGTGATGTGGGCAGATTTGGCCCTCCAGTGAAACTGTGACATGTGGCATCTCGTGATAAATAGGCAATACCCAGGTAATAACTTATCAAGTTGGTGTCCCACCGGGGCACCGGCCTGGCCCGTTTGGCGAGGCCTGGCGCGTGGCCTACACGCAGCCTGTGCGCTGCCTGGTGCGCGACCTAC